AAATATTCGCTCAGTTTTACACTATCGCGGCAAACTGTGGATGGATTAGCGTTAATGTGCCGGGTCGCTAACGTCTCCAGGTCTGAATGAACGATAAAACATACATGCATATAAAGGTACAGCGTGTCTCCTGAGCACAGAGCAGGAGAAACATCTTCCTAATGGTGATTCATGAGTCTGTCACGGTGTGTGTGGTTTATTGTTCCCAAAACTCAATACTGACCAGATATGCATCGCTGCAATCAGGCTAATGTATGGGCTGTGAAGTAGAGGTAATTTAAGGGCACATTGATCTGGAGAGATGGGTAAGATAAGTGAAGGCCTGTTAAAGGAAAGGTTGACAAAAAATCGAATTTATTTATTTATTTATTTACCTCAAATGCATCTGATCTGCTTCTTTAGTTTTGCACTGGAGCTACATGGCTAATGCGGCTTACTAGTAATCAGCATTGTCCAAGCAGGCTTCATCACCACACACCTACCTCAAACCATATGAAGTTGTTCAGTCATGTCTAACAGATGTGCTTGTCGCTGTTGTCGGAAGAAAAACTCATATCTCCAAAATGGTAACTTTACAGTAGAAGGAAAAAACCTACTTTACTTTTAATGGAAGTCAATGGAACCAGACTTTTTGTCATTTTGGGCCGTTTCTTTTGGTCCATTCATCATGAAATTTACAAACAAATTGTGTCAAAAACTGAAAAACGACAAAAATGGAGTTACAAGGTTTTCTTCTGACAGCAGCGTTATGTGACTAGGTGTACCTTAAAGTTCCTCAAATCAGTAATTAGAAGTGTCTGCAAACTTTTGGACATATTGTGCATTCTACTAATGTGGAATTGATGTACAGTAAACTTGCTGCAATATTTTTAGTGTGATAAACTCAAGTTCTAGGCTAGTTCTTTGGCTCTGATGCACCACCGAACAGAAAACTCTTGCACATACGTGTCAAACTGTATAAAACAGCCTTCTGTTGGAGTTGTGGAGCTATACAGCTGTACAAGGCTGGGATATGGCAAATCTGGTTCAGTTCAGTTTCTACCCTTAAATTCTGGCTAACTAGATTTGCTAGCCTACCAAGTAATCTGCTCAGACTGCGGGGAGCTGCTATCATTTATGTGAAATACTTACACTGTTATTATTAATATTATGCCTGATCAGACACAGCAGTGCTGCTGGAGTTTTTAAACACCTCAGTGTCACTGCTGGACTGAGAATAGTCCACCAACCAAAAATATCCAGCCAACAGCGTCCTGTGGGCAGCGTCCTGTGACCACTGATGAAGGACTAAAGGATGACCAACTCAAACTGTGCAGCAGCAGATGAGCTATCATCTCTGACTTTACATCTACAAGGTGGACTGACAAGGTAGGAGTGTCTAATAGAGTGGACAGTGAGTGGACACAGTGTTTAAAAACTCTGTGTCTGATCCACTCGTACCAGCGCAACACACACTAACACACCACCACCACGTCAGTGTTACTGCAGTGCTGAGAATGATCCACCACACAAATAGTACCTGCTCTGTGAGGGTCCATGGGGGTCCTGACCACTGAAGAACAGGATAAAAGAGGGCTAACAAAGTATGCAGAGAAACAGATGGACTACAGTCTGTAACTGTAGAACTACAAAGTGCACCTATATAGTAAGTGGAGCTGATAAAATGGACAATGAGCGTAGAAACAAGGAGGTGGTCATAATGTTATGCCTGATCGGTGTATATTTAGCTTATTACTGTGTCTATTAATGCTTTGGGTTTAAATAGATCAGAATATAATCCTTGCAAATGTCTAAGCTCTGAATACTTCATTGTTATTTAAATAGCTTTTTTTTTTAAATGGGACCACAGTTTGAACTAATCGACTCGATTAATCGATCGAGTCGACTAATCGATTTGGTAGAATCCTCCACATATATGCTGTTCAGATGACACAAGTTGGCGATGACCACCAACTTGTGAAACATCTGGCAATCACCGGTCAGTGATGTGACTACTTTCCGACAAGTTCTCGAGGCCGGCCTGAACGCATCACTAGGAGAAGCCTGAGTAGAAATCCAGGTGGCCGTTTGTGGTCTGACTGAACGGCTCGGTCTCCATCCACACTTCATTAACAATCTGATGTGTCTGACTCATCTCTCAGGCCTGACTTTCTCCGCTCTAGCACAACGTCTGTTCTTCTCCTCAGAGAGAGGGAGGGAGAGGGAGAGAGAGAGAGAGGGAGAGGGAGAGAGAGGGAGAGGGAGAGAGAGAGAGACAGAGACAGAGACAGAGAGAGAGAGAGACGCCTGCTGTCATTAACATGAAGCGAGCGTGACAGGGCTGCGCTCTGAGCATTAATGAAATTACAGTGGGGATAAATCAACGCAGTAAAACTCTGACCTCTGCTCCGCAGCTCAAGGTCAGCCAGAGACGATGCATGCAGAATGAAATGATGTGTTCAAACTGTCCACTAAAGATGCGCTACCTGTCCAAAGTTTAGAGACACGTCAGCGACACGTATTACAGAAATGTTCTATATTTCTGTCTTAAGGTAAGATTTGTTTTGTTTTTTATTGTTACCCTTTATTAATCCCACAACGGGGAAATTCGCCTCCACAGTTAACCCATCTGTGCAGTGAAACACGACAGACACACTAGTGAATGAACACACACACTAGGGGGCAGTGAGCACACTTGCCCGGAGCGGTGGGCAGCCCTATCCACAGCGCCCAGGGAGCAGCTGGGGGTTAGGTGCCTTGCTCAAGGGCACTACAGTCATGTACTGTCAGCTCAGGGGATTGAACTGGTGACCTTCTGGTCACAAGGCTGCTTCCTTAACCTCCAGGGTTCTCTAACCTCCAGGGTTCTCTAACCTCCAGGGTTCTCTAACCTCCAAGGTTCTCTAACCTCCAGGGTTCCCTAACCTCCAGGGTTCCCTAACCTCCAGGGTCAAGATAAGATTTGTATTACAGAAGCAAATCTGATCTTAATTTAGGAATGTTATCTTATCTTCCCTGATAGCAAGAGGATAGCGGACCACTGTTGATCCACTGATGGCAAAGCTGGTGGTCCAGTGGTTTGCTCAGCATTTTCCGGGCGGCCCACCGGCGGTTAAGCAGAGCATTAAACAAAATTCGATGTATCATCACTTATTTTCCACTCACAGCCGTATTTACTGATTTTTGCTTCCTTCTTTTCTTTAGTTATACTTTGTACTTTGTAAAGTTTATTTTCTAAAATAAAAGTCTCTTTACATTTAAAATCTGTTTGATGAGATTAAAAACTAGTTAGAGCTTGTATGCAGGACAGTAATCTGGGTGGTCCAAGTGTGGACCAGCAGTGGCAAACAGTCAGCAGGGTGCCAAGCCAGCGGACCAATATATGCAAGTTAGGAAATCTTAACTAACTCAATCAATGTCAACAATCAACTGTCATGTCTGTTACCTAGAAACTGACCATACACACACAGCTGAAACATAAACACGTAATCAGAATAATCAGCCAGACTGCTAACGTTAGCTACTGTTACTGATGTAAAAAAGTCAAACAAAACTGAAGTGTGATAAACTGAAAGTTAAGAATACTGTGAGAGCGCCCCCTGCTGTTTATCAGAGCGTCACCGCTCCCCAGTTTCAGTCTCCATTTCCCAAACGCTTTAGCCGAGCGTGCTAACGTTACTCCTCCTAATAAACAGACACACGTTCAGCTCCGTCTCCTCATTATTCACATATATTATAGCTATGACATGCTCTACATAGTGCTATAAGATAGTTGGTCAGACAGTCAGTCAGTGCCCCGTTACCGTTTGTCAGTCGTCAGTCAGCTACTGTTCTACTTGCACATTTCTTTTTTAAGAACCAATAAAATGACCCCAGCCCTTTTAGAGGTACAGTGCACCCTGGACATCACTCACAATGAAGTGAAATCAACTATGTGAAATAAGCGATATGTATCTTAATTTGGAGTTATCAGTTGTGCGTTATCACTGTTACTATAGTAAACACTTTTATCATGAGATCTTTCTCTTATTTGTGAGATTCCATCACTCAACACTGTGACAAACTCTCACAAGAGGAAAAACAAAACACCATAACTGCAACGTGACAGAACCGGCCAGATGCTCACGGTAAAAACAAGAAATGAGGGTTTGACAAGATTCGTAGTCGGTAAACAGGCGTGGGTCAAATCCAGAAGAGCAAAACGGACAAACATTATAAAGGCAACCAGGTCCAAAAGGGCAAAGACAAAAGGGTAAAGTCACTAAATCCAGCAACAGGGCCGAAAGCATGAAAATGGCAAACAACAGCAAACAGGAAACGCTCAGTAGCTCCGCAGTGAGAAGCAACACCTCACAACTGACCTGCTCTAAAGCCAGGGCTTTTAAAATAAACTAGACTGGTCATACGACACATAGTACAGGTGAAAAACATCAGTATTCTGGTGATTGTGAGTGGTGATTGGAGGATTGAGGAAGTTCTCAAGTCTCCTGTGGAATTCTGGGATGTGGAGTTCATGTGTGAGTCGGAGCCAGAGGGATGTGTGACAGTAACAGTGTTTTTCATGTAATTCTGTTAGAAATTACTTACTTTTTTAATGCTTTTGTAATCTGATTACTGTAACTGAATACGGTTACCTCTTTTATGTATCCTGATTATGTAACATCGTTACCTGAATTTTGGATTTGACTGATGTTCTTTTCCAAACTACTGTTAAAAGCAAACGTAAAGCACATATTGACTCTTTTGGCCCAAAGTTTAAACACCTGAACAATTTTAATGCTGCCATCCCAACAAGAGGATAAAAAGTGTGATCTTTTGTTTTATTCTCAAGTCAGCAGTGTCACTAATATGATCACTAATATTTATATTGATATGTCATAAATACGCCTGCATAGGCTGTAATATGGTACATTGCTGAGAAATGACAAAGAAAGGTCATTTGTATTAAAACATTCTGAGAAGCTAAAGGTCCCCAGGCTTCAGAGGGGAGGTGTATTAAAGTTAGATTTAAGGGTGATTACCTTGTATCTGTGGGATATACGGCGCTAGCAGCTTTCCTCTTTTCTTCTCATAGCCTTTCTGCGTGATGTCCCCTGAAAAGACAGAGAGAGAGAGATTTACATTAATTCAATATTAATTTAGTAATAATAACTTATACAGTGGAGACTGAAATGGTTTAAAGTAGACACCAAACCACCATCTGATGTTGATTCATGATACAAAACATGTTGGGAACAGTAAACATGTTATAACTTAAATACATAACATACACATAACGAATTGTCATTACTGCATGTAATCACAACACATTTTATTATTAATAAGCTGTTATTATCTATAGTAATCACTTGACTATAAATAGCTATTTGCTCAGTGAGATTCGGTCACCGAACATACAGTTTCAAATCATGGATCATACAGTGAAAATATATATAATCAAGCCAATTAGACATTAACGAACAACTCCATATAGCCACATTAGCCTCAGCAGCTCCAGTGCAAAACTAAAGAAGCAAACTTCAGACCCCACTCGTCTTGGTTATATATTTGCGGAAAAATTCCTTTAGGAACGTTGCTGCCCCCCCTCTAAACCCCCAACACATAAACAGAGCCAAACAATAAACAGAGTGACCTCAGATATGGGTAAACCAACACCAGCCCATAATCCCTTTCTCCTGACTCACAAACAACTTATTACATTCCTCGGATTCGGAATATGTAGCTCATTATTCTCCGCGCTGGCAGGACGAACAGTGCTCGCCTTATTCTTCTTAATCTAATAGACATCTTTCTCACACGCTCACTATTAAAAATGACTGACCTTAGACGGGAGGAGGAATAAAACCCTCTAATGCCTTTATGTCATAATCCCACAGTCATTCCTCACCGAGAGAGTAAATAAGAGTAAACAGAGAGATGAGGAGAGACCTGCAGACCGGACAAGCCCAACAAACAGATCCTGCATAATAAATCACCCAAACATGCGGATCTACAGAGGGTTAAACCCCCTCAGAAAAACACTCAGTCCGTCCAAATTCCTCAACGATAACCTAACTTCATAAATAGTCATTAAAATCTCATTTTCATGACACACTTGGACCGCTCTTCTCCCCCCACTCGCGCGGTGGGCAGACGCTGCTGACGGTGTGTGGAACAGCCTGGTTTCTCCAGTGTACACTTAATTACCGGGCCTGTCTGTTAGACATGTAATTTTATAAACTAATGGAAGACTTTTGGAGAGATTTCCACAGACGCAGGACCTCGGAATGGCACGGCAGTGTTCCCGCTTAAAATAAGGCCAGGAATGAAGAGCTCTGCTGGGAAGGAGCCACAATATACAGCAGAACTTTCCCTTCTGATCTACTCTTCTTTTTAACAATGTGGGTGATGGACAGCTGGGTAAATAGATGAAGAAATGGAAGGATGGACTGATGGTTAAGACAGATGGATGGATTAAAGGACGGACTGAATCAATTAGTGGATCCATGGTTGGCTGGAAGGATGGATGGATGGATGGATGGATGGATGGACTGATAGTTGGATAGATGAATATATGGATAAAAGGATAGATTGACAATTGACAGACAGATAGATAGATAGATAGATAGATAGATAGATGAGCAGACAGACAGACAGACAGATAGATAGTTAGACAGAGATAGATAGGTAGGTAGATAGATAGATAGATAGATAGATGCGCAGACAGACAGATAGACAGACAGACAGATAGATAAACATATATATAGACAGAAAGACAGACAGACAGACAGAGACAGACAGACAGACAGACAGACAGATAGATAGATAGATAGATAAATAGATAGACAGATGGGCAGACAGACAGACAGACAGACAGACAGATAGATAGATAGATAAATAGACAGACAGACAGACAGACAGACAGACAGACAGACTGGTGGATTAATGCATGTATATAACACAAGAATAGACATAATGATAGATGCGTAGATAGATAAATGGAATAACGGACTGATAGAAATATAGATCAATGAAAAGAAAGACTGATGGCTGAGAGGGTGGGTGAAGGATGGATGGATGGATGGATGTATAAATGGGTTGGCAGAGAGTTAGATGGCAGGATTGATGGATGGATAAAAGGGTGGATAGAATGATGGATAAATGGTTGGATAGATGGACAGGCAGACATGCTTGGATGGATGGTTGGACGTACAGACGGACAAACAGATAAATGGATAGATTATTGCATAGACAGAAGGACAGATAAATGAGTTTATAGATAAATGAGAGGATGGATGGATGGATAGATGGATAGATATATAGACGTAAGAAGGGTTAGGTAGATTAATGAATGGATGGCTGGATGAACGGATGGACAGACGAAGGGCTGGATTATTGGACGGACAGATGGACAGATGTATAGATAAACGAAAGGATGGATGTATGGATAGAGGTGTAGATGTAAGGAGGGTTTAGGTATATTAGTGAATGGAGGGTTATAGTTGGATGTACAGATGAGGGAATGGATCATTAGACGAGTCAGACAGCAGAGAGACGGTGTGGAGTCAGTCCGTCACCACAGAGCCTCAGTCTGCACATCATCACTCTGAGGACTCAGACTGCAGAGTCACAACATCAGCTGAGCTCAAATAGGCACAAAATCAATGGTAAGAACAGTCTGGAGGAAACACTGAGCCAAACACAGAGAGGCACGGCTTGATTACCCCCCCTGCACCCACCCCCCACCCGAACCCTTTAAGAACCATCCTTTTTAAGAGTGTCAAGCTTGTGGTGCTATACAGAACCCTTTTCAAAAAGGTTCTATATAGAACCATATACAACACATTCTCCACCAATCTCAAGAACAACTTCACCATGCAGAGAACCATTCAAGCATACAAATGCCTGTTTGAGTGTTCATAATTCTATATAGAACCACTGTCTTTACCATAGAACCCTTGAGGAACCATATTTTTTAAAAGAACATACTCTCAGAAAAAAAGGTAGTAAACTGTCACTGGGGTGGGACCCTCAATGGTACGTCTTCAGTACCTGTAGTGAGGGAACATAGTTGTACCGTAATTAATTTCGGTTCTATATTTTAAGCTGTACTGACTCCTCACACTGTCTGCACTCCAGGCTTTTATTTTATTGTTCTGCCTTTAAACATCAGGATACACAAAGGGACAAATACATGCTTTTGCCCTGTACTTAAGGGACACAGCTGAACCGTAGCACCTTAAAATCCTTACTAAGGCTTATTATTCAGTAACTACAGGGACTTTAATACAAACTGGATGAGCTGTTCTTAGGTTATAGAAGCGTGTAATAAAGCTTTAGGCCCAAAACTTTGAGCACTGGTCACTTAAGGGGTTAAATCCACGGTTGTACCTTTGAAATTACATTTGGATTGTTTGTAGCTTGATTGATGAATGATTAGTCAATCAATTTATCCATCAATCAATCAATCAATCAATCACATTAGTACATTAAGGGAGACCCACATTTACAGTGTAGCCGAGCCAATACAGAAATCAGGAATTCAAAAAAAAATTGGATTGTTAAAACATATCAAATGCTAAAAAATTAATAATAATAATAATAATCATAATAGTAAATTTAATAGTAAAATATACCAAAAAATCACCATTAAAATTGCAATAACATAATAAAATAATAAATAACAGATCAAATGGGATAAAATAAATTTTAAAAATAGATAATGAAATGAATAAAGGATTAGAAGATGTAAAACAATAACGTGTCACTAGCTAAGAAGTAGAAGTGGATTATAAAATAAATAAAAAATAATTTACCTGCACAGCACCTTTTTTCTGACAGTGTTCTGTGGTTTCAAATGACAAAAATATCAAGATTTGTCAACAATTTGGTCTCGAATGATCCATTTTTCAGTCCCAGCCAAATATTTACGTGTGTAATATTGCTGTCCGTTAAATAAACCTGCTCAGGTATTAATAAATCGCATTATCATAACCCACTAATCAGACTCAAATGTGATTTTACGCTGAAGTAATCTCACATTTAGGCAGAGAATCAGATTTGTAATGTGAACGCAGGCCAACCTTGTGTTGAGATGTTTGTTCCCTTTCTGCTCCGTCCTATGGGCAGAACCGCAGCGTGAGAAGAGCCTCCACATTCCAGAACAAAAGCCGTATTGATTCAGAGCGGAGGCCGCAGCCTCGGTGACTGACAACGCTAAAGAATCAGCAGGATTCTCAGGCCCAACAAGCAAAACCCTGCAAACAATGCAGTGAGGAGCGCTGGGAAAAAGTGACACTCAAACAGCTGGGACACTCAAACGCTCCATAGGGCCCAGACGCGTTACATTACTGACTATATCATATCAATAACGCATCAATATCTGCTGATCACTGTCTGAAACCATCAACTCGGTTCCAGTCTGAGGATCTGATCTTATTATAGGGCATGAACTACACGTTACACATGAGCCGTGGCTCAACTGTGGCTTTGTATCTCATATACTGAACCTCCAAAATAGGAACTTTCAATATAAACCAGAGTAACTACATTTATTCTAATGCCGTGTCTGAATAATAATCACTGTACACTACATTTAAAAATCTAGATCACTATCTAGAACACTACTATAGGGAACAGAATTAGTGATGGTACTAAAAGACTTTGGACACTACACACTTAAAAAAAGATGGTTCTTCAGGGTTCTTTAGCAAAGAAACGTTCTATAACACTCAAAGAACATGATTAAAAGGTTCTTTGCATGGTTAAATGGTTCCTCAGATTAGTGCAGAATATTTTGTATATGGTTCTATTTAGAACCTTTTTGAAAAGGGTTCTATATAGCACCAAAAGGACTTAAAAAAGATGGTTCTTTTCCATATAGAACCATGAACACCCAAAGAACGTGCTGTAGATGGTTCTATATAGCATCAGAAAGTGTTCCACTGTTATGATGTCAAGCTTGTAATTATAGCAGAACCCTTGCTGGTGCTATATAGAAGAATATACAACACGTTCTCCATCAGTCCGAAATATGATCACTATACACTACACTTAAAAATCTGGATCACTATCTAGAACACTAAAATAAGGAACAGAATTAGTGATGGTAGTA